GGGGGGGGGGGGGGGGAATAAGAAAGCAAGCTGCCAGGTCCAGGACTCAAACCATGGTCAGCCATGTGGGAGTCCAGCGTCCTTAACCGACACTAACATTTTTAAACTACTTTGGCAGAGAAAGACTCCTAAAGGAGGGGTATGGGAGGCAAGCCACAGCCTACCAGATTTCTACAAGATTTCTCAATGCATAACTTATCAAAGATTAGCATTTCTCCAGAATATATAGGTTTAAACGTCAGTAAGTTTTAACATCAATAAGACAAATAATCCCAATAAAAAATGGGCAAAGAATATAGCCCAATAACAGACAAGGAAACCTGTACAGCCAATACACATAGGAAGAGATGCTGAACCTCAACGCAAAGTAAAAGCAGGCAAAGAGAGTGCACATCCAATTTGCCCAAATGAAGACTCGGGTAATACCAAGTGTTGGTGGAGTTGGAGGGAAGGGGGAACTCTCAGACTGCTGATGGAGTAGGACGGTTATAAGCACTTAGGGAGCCGCTGAGAATATGCAGTCAGTTAGGGCTCGGTGCCTCCCCCTAATCCACAAATGGAACAGCTTGCCTACTGCAGCACAGTCATCTGGAAACACGGCCAACACCCTCCATGGCCAGGGAGAGCAGCATGGCGGAGCAGCAGAGTATCAGACAATGGGACACCGCATTTACAGTAACTGAACTAGGGCTATGTTTCCACACACGAGTGTCTCCAGAATGCAGAATTTTAATATTTAAACGGTCAAATCTGTACAATATGCATGACATGACATCATGTAAAGTTAAAAAAATATATGCCCACTTGTGGAAATCAACCACATCTGGGAAGAGTGCAAACTGACTTCAGGACCGGGGATGCAGCAACAGGGTCAGGCACCATAAAAACGGGACTTCAGAACTCATTCTAGTGCTAAAACAAATCTGGAGCAAACATGGAAAAATTAAGATGAGCAGATTGGCGACATGGGAGGGGGATACAGGTGTTAGCAAACCAGTTCCACTGTTTCCAGCATGTTTGAATTAGAGCTTCTGAAAATCCTCGTTTTTCCTCTTCTCCACTTGTGTTCCAGGTCCCCCAGTCTCCCAGCTCCTTGGGGACCCAAACTAGAACCTCTTTAAGTGTCTCGACTTTCTCTCCAATGGCTCTTCCCCTTTTGTCTTCTCACATATATTTGTTTTCCCAGTCTTTTTTTTTTTTTTTTTCCTTTTTTAAGAGAGATTTTTGCTATAGGGCATGTACATTTTCTGGAGAGACAGAGATCGAGAGACAGAAAGCGAGAAATTACCCCCCAGAGGGGATGACCACGCCACAATCCCTTCTCCATTCTCCTCTTGGGATTTTGGGCATGCATGCACACACACCTGGTGTGAGTTTGAAGCCACCGAGTCTGGGACTTGAACTGCGGTCAACCATGTGGGAGCCCAGCAAAATAACCATTAGACCATCTGTTGGTCCCTTTCCAGTCTTAATGCTTCATCTTAACATCTAATCACATGGCCCGTCCAGGTCGTTCATCCCTCCCTCCCTCGCCGACAATATCTTTAAATATGCCTCTTCTGCCTTTACCTGAGTATGGCCTCCACCCCCAGCACTTCCTAGCCAGGCCTTTGACAAAGACTCTTTAAAATGGCAAATGCGACATTTAGCTGATCTTGACAATGGAAACCTCACTCTAAAACTACTCTTTCAAAGACAAATATTGTCCTAATTGCCAAATGGAACAGACTTTTCTGTCTATTTGCTTGGTTTTCTTTTTTTTAAAGAGAATTATTTAGTTTTATTTATTCATTCATTTATTTTAATTTGACCAGAGAAAGCCAGAGAGAGAGAAAAAACAAGCCACCAGGTCCAGGATTTGAACCGTGGTCAGCCATATGGGAGTGTCCAGTACCTTAACCACCATGCCATCTGCTGGTCCCCTGCTTGTTTGTTTTTAGTTTATTTATTGATTTTCTGAGACAGAGACAGATACCCTCAACAGGGTCTTCACATCAAGATCCTCTGCTGCAGCCTGGTGGCCAGCCAGGCTCAGTGTACCCAACCTGCTAGGGCAGACCCACCCTGGACATGCACCAGGAGTCTGTCCCCATGATGTCCAGCATCATGCCATGACATCCAGCATCCGGCCCACAATGCCACGGCCGGACCACCTTCAGGTTTTCTCCCGTTAGCCCCCTGGGAACACCTACAACATTAGGGAACTTCTTTTTTTGGGGAGAGTTTTTGCTATAAGGCGCGTGCACTCGCCAGAAAGACAGAGAGACAGACAGCGAGAAATTACCCCCCGGGGGGATGGCCACATTGCAATCCCTTCTCCATTCTCCTCTCGGGATCTTGGGCACGCACACACACGCACCTGGCGTGAGTTTAAGCCACCAGGTCTGGGACTCGAACTGTAGTTGGCTACATGCGGAGTCCAGCGACATAGCCATTACGCCAACTGCTGGTCCCGGGAACTTCTTTAACTGCTCCCCGCTTTGGCACTCACGACTGTGATGGCACCACACGTGTCTCTGACCCAGCACACGGAATGCTGCACTACCCCAAACAGCAGCTGTTCTGCCTTCTTAGCTCCCACAGGTTCCCTGTTCTCCTACGGACAGCCCAGGGGAAGAGCTCTGTCAAACATCAAGATACACGATCCTTCTATTTTTCTTGTAATAGATAGCCAGGTTCTCGGCACTCACATTATTTCTGGAACAAGGAGACAGCCAGGCCCTCGTCTTGACTCCACAGGCACACCTGCCTTTTTTCAGCTGTCCAACGGCTGTCCCAGCGGGCCTTACAGGCCCAAGTCCCCATCCGGAGCCTTCTGAGAGTCTGTGCAACCCAGCTTGGCATGCAGAGGAAAAGGGCAAACCCAGCCTGTCCACTCCGCGGTCTCAGCGCCCAGAGTAAGAAAGGGGAGTGGGCGAGTCTGAGCGCGTATTCTCTCTGGGCCCTGTGAGGCACTGGCTTCTGCTGAGGACCGGCACTTACTGAGGAAGCACTCCACGTTTCCACAACCACCGTGGCCTGTTTCTGACACTGCAATGTGACTGACAGAATGAGCCGGGCACCAGGAGCTCACAGCCCCAGGTTTTGGGACATGGGCCTCACTGCTCACCTGTCTCTGCTGGGGACATCCCAGGGCCAGCAGTGCGTGGTGCTAAAGCACCAGGCTGCGAGGCTCACCCAGAAGAGAAGGTTCTGGGTTTGCATGGAGACCTCCCCTAGCCTGCCACACACACAGTGGCCATGGGCTGGGCCTGGCTGAGGTGAGTGGATTGTGCCATCAGGACCTTGTTGCCTCTCTCTCTCTAAGTAAATTTTTTAAAAGAATTATTTGCTTTAACTTTTATTATTATTATTATTATTTAATATTTCCAGAAAGAGACTGAGAGAAAGAGAGAGGTAAAGTGAGAAAGCAAGCCTCCAGGTCTAGGACTTGAACCATGGTCAGCCATGTGGGAGTCCAACGCTGTTAACTACCATGTCACCTGCCAGCCACTCTAAATAATTTTTTTAAAAAAGAGACTTTCTAGTTAAATAAGTGGTGTAGAGTCAACACAGTTAAGCCTCTCTCCTTTACGGCAAATCTCCTCCCTCCCGGCCGGCAGCACACATTACCCGGGGGGCCCCAGGGGGTTGAGGGAAAGGTGTGGCACTGCCCCAAAGACCAGACTCCCATATTCCAACAGAATCCACCGATTTATTGATAACATGAGTCCACGTCCCAGCAGTAACTGCTGCCACAAGAACTGAACTCGGTTTCTAAAGGCAATAGTATGACAACATCATAGACAAAGCAATGGGGACATTCCTTACAGGGAATTGGCTTTGCTTCTCCGGCCAGAGCAAACAGGGGCTCAGGGCCGTTCCTGAGCACAGGCTTCTGGTCCTGAATAGACGCACATTCCTCCAGGCCTCAGAGGACCCCAGAGCATGGGACACGCACAGGCTCCTTCTCCACGCTCCTCCCTCACCACAATCTCACTCATCTCGGCACACCTGCTGTGCTTCCTGTCACGAAGAGGTGCACTGAAGTCTGGTGACAAAACAGCTAGCACCAAAAAGCTTCCTCTTCATGAAGTAAACACAAGACTTTTTTATTCCTTTTTTTTTTTTTAAAGGAAAAAAAGGTTTTAAAAAAATCTATGGCACTAGAGTGGAAAACTACACAACTGCATCCAGTTACAATTTCCTACGGCTTCCAGGCCACGGCACCCACATGCCCCTCAGATATAGAGCTGATGGGCGGCCAGGGTGTCCATAAAGGGGCGCACCAGGTTGTCTGTGGAGAAGTAGAAGATGAGCCCGAATGTGATGGAGATGGGGAGGGCTGGCAGCGCCTTCTTGAACACGGCGAGCAGCAGGAGGGTCAGACACAAACCCTGCAGGACACGGGGAGGGAAGGCCCCACCGGTGGGGGTGGAGGGTGGTCAGTGACAGGCGGTCCTTGGGCTCGGGAGCTTGCGCAAGGACTAGTCAGATGACAGCTCAGGGCTTCCCTGACCCTGTGCAACTCTGCGCAGTGCTGAGGGCAGAGTCCTCATCCTACCGGAACGCTCTGCCTGTTAATGGGTGACCCAGAGTCCCAGGACAGTGCTGTTTCCAGCAGCACACGCTGCCTCCTCTGTCGGGCTACAGCAGTCTCACAGGGTGGCAGGACACTCTCAGGGACTGTAGGAGAGGGTCTTTGAAACGTTCATGGAAAATGCATACTATGAGAGAAGTACTCATGCATTTAAAATTTTTTGTACCAAGGTAAAAGTTGTGCTTTAATTCGACATTTCCCTGATCTTTTGAAGTCCCCTTATATGAGAATTAGATGGGACTGACTCAAAGGAAGGCCAGCAAGGTTCTCAGCAACGGACCATGGGAACCAAAGACTGGTCCCATGACCTGACCCCTCAGAAGCAGGCATGCACACATAGAGCTGGGCAGGGCAGGGGCCTAGGGTTCATGATCTCATCCACCCTATTCATGCACCCTGCCACGTGATGCCCAGGCTGGGCCCCGCCTCCTCTAATCTAAAAATTACCAACAGAATCATAGCATGCTGTGCCCCCCAATGGGTGAGCCTGGCCATATCAGGTGACCCCAGCAGCCTCCAGATTCTGCTGCTGGGGCTTAAAGTGCTGAGGCCACTCCAAGTCCTAGATTCAGAAACTCACGGTGTCCAGGTGTCACAGAGGAGAGGAGACCTTAGTCTGACCACAGAGCACCCCTCCCTCACTTGTGCCCATAGGCAAGACCCTGACCCAGCCCCCTCTCCATCAGTTTTCACAGGTATCTTGAGACAAGCGTACAGAGCTTTAGATCAGACCCTCAGCGCCTCCTTCAACAGGCTGAGGGGTGTACTGCTGGTGACACTCCCAGAGCCTTGGTCTCCCCTCTTCGTGGCAGCCCCTCTTGGCCATCTGGGAATTCCCAGGGGCCCTGGGCCGCCCATGAAATCCTCAAGGTCCCATTGCCTAGGGCAATGGGGAGCTCCCCCCACTCACAATGAGGATGGCGACAAAGCAGGCCAGCGTGGTGTTCCAGTCCCCGCTGCCCGTGGCAGCCGCCTTGCCCACCAGCACACTGTAGAAGATGAAGTCTCCCAGGCCGAGCTTCACGCCCCCTGTGTGGGAGGAGAAAGTGGACACTTCGGTCTCCAAAGTGGGTGGACAGGGGGAGGAGGACATGACACCAGCCAAGAAAGCCCAGCCACTCTGCCCAGCCCAAAGGGAGGAGGGGCCAGACAGGGAGTCCCTGCCAGGTCACACCCACCCAGAGGAATAGCCCCGCAGACCAGGCACAAGGACATGCTGCCTCTGGAAAGCAGGGAGCACACGGACTGGGCAGGGGAATATGGCAGATCTGACACTCAAGGAAAACTGGGGCTGGACACTTAATAAAGAAAAGAACAAGTAAAAATAGAATGCCTGGGGCTAGAGGGCTGCTGTACAGCTCGTGATAGATAATAATAAAATCATAACTATTTTGCTAAGGAAATTTAATTGGGGTATTTTCAAGAACATGCATAATATATACGTTCTCTGGAGATGCTTTCCCTTCAAGACCAGGTAAATGTAACTGGGAATGAGCTTACCCCTTTCTGAAAAGCAAACCAGAGTTTCTAAAATGCTTTCAAGTTCACTTTCATTAGTGCAATGGTCCCTATTTACGGGACAGGGACCACAAAGTGCTTAGGTGACAGAAGCGAAGTGAAGAGGCCCATCGAGGCTGCAGCCTGGGCCACAAGTGCAGCTCTACTCATTCCATTTCCCGTGACAAAGCACTAACGGTTCCCACCACCTCCAGGATGAAATCCCAGCTCTTTCTCATGTACAGCACCCTAAGGCCGAATCCTGGCCATCCCTGACTGCTCCCTGCCACTGCCCAGGCCCTCTGCCCAGCCACATCCAACAGCCACAGAGCTCCCCACAGAGGCACTCATCTGAGGCTCTGCACATGCTGCTGAAGCACTGGGCCAGCCTTTGTCCAGGAGCCGAGATCCTTGGACTGTCCCGAGTTCCAGTGTCTTCCTATTCCTGAGCCCCTCGGGCCAGTGTGGGGGCAGTGGGTTACCAGCTATGACCTGCCAGCCTGCCGAGCCTGTGCCCAAGTCTACCTGCCTCCCACGGCTGCACTGAGATGTCACTCAGGCCACTCAAGTGCATACTTCCAGGTGGGACTCTCCACAGGCCACCACCCTGCCCCCAAGATCACAGCCACCCTCCCACACAACACAAAACTCTGAGGGCTCCCAAGATAAAGATTGGGATCCCCACCTTGACCAGGAAGGCCCTTCCAGCCCCTGCCTGCCTCCCAGCCTCCTCTGCTCTCTGTCAGGGTCCTGCCTCCCCTTCCTCTAGCCTGGTGTGCTGCCTTCTGCCTTGAGGACCCTGCTCCTGCTGTCTGCTTGTTAGAAATGCCCTCCTGAGTCCCTACTCCTCATTCTAGTCACTGCTGTGACAACCTCGAGGCTCAGCTCAGAAGTGCCCTCCTCAGTCAATCATCTCTGACTCTTCCAATCAGGTTGTAAAGCCCCCTCCCATGCTCTCTGGACGCCCAGCCCCTTCCGAGGTCCTCTCTGGCTCCCACAGAAGAGTGAGGAGTGTCTGTGCCTGCCAGACCGAGTCCCGCCACAGCGGGGCAGCACCTGGCACAGCACAGGGCCCAGTGGGCACCTGATGCAGGCCCGCAGATGGGCAGGGCAGCCTGCGGGGGCAGCCTAGGGCCTAACACCAAGGTTCCAGCTGTGCAGGCTTCTCTCCTCACGTCCTCCTCCACCCAGACTTTGGGGGGCCTCTGACCCCCCGCCCCCATACAAAGCAGACCATCTGAACGCAGGCACCTTACTTTCCTCCTCTTCCTCCAGCTCCTCCCCTGGGTAGCCAGGCAGAGGGGGCTCAAAGACTTCAGGGTAGGAGGGCTCCCCAAAACTGTCATAGGAGTCTTCTTCTGGGCATCAGGAAGAGCAGATGAGTGTCATCACCATGAGGAGAGAGCAGATGAGAGAGACAAAGGCTGGTCAGAGGGTTCCCTGGTCTCTGGGAATAGTTCCAGGAAAGGGACCCCGAACAAAAATGACTGACCTCAGGGCTTCTCACCCCACCCACCCCCGGAGGGAAT